CCTCCACTGAAAATGTCAATGCCCAAAAGTCTACCTGACACACGGGAGCATCTGCAGGGTAGAAGGAAATCTTCAACCCGCCTACTCACCCACCAAGGTAACAACGAAGCCGGAACGATTTTGCTTGTGATTTGTTACGATCCCCTCTCCCACCCTTTCTCTCCTCCTCCTCCTAAGTATTTGTAAAACCTGATTTAAAAAACAAACAAGTAGAATGCTCCTCAGAAATCTAACAAACGCTTCCTTAGGCAGAAGGGAAATTCCTTTAGCAAGGTCAAATATCTCCTTAGGGATGTGCCCACCAAGGCCTCCAGTTATTCAGGAATGAAAGTCCCCTGGCTTTGTTCCTTGGTCCTGGAGAACTCCTCTACAGCTCAGCACCATGCTTCGCAGCATCTTCCTGGAAGTCTGCACTAAGGTCCCTCATCACCCATAGCGCTGGTCTCAGGGATGCCTGCTCCTAGACCTTCCGGTGTGCCTGGATCTACTTCTTCCTACCATTATGACAGTCAAAAGCCGAGGCTAGCTCATCAGCAGGCATTCCTTCAGACCACTCTTCTTTAGATCCATAAACAAGAGGTGGAGTGTGGCATAAGGAGCCTGCTGACATCCGGCCCCCTCGGAGAGCATAATCCCATTCCCCTGGGGCTAGTCAAGCAGACCCTTTGGGAAATTTTGCCCCAGCAGCTTCCCAAACACTAAGCTTCTTTCTAGCTAAACTTCCTAAGAAAAATATTCCTAATAAATATGAAACTGTCACATGAGAATCTTTTGGCTAAAACATCTTTTTCTATTGTAGTTCTATTGCAAATATCTACTTGTAGATGTGTCCATTGTGTATCTGCATGGCTGGCCGATGTTATATTCCAACTCTGTCCAAAATGTATATTTGTGGGGGGGTAGGGGGGAGGCTTAATGTCTATCACCCCCCAAAACAACGGCTCTGTGACAGAAAACAACATGCTTTTGGTTCGCTGCTCCATCCCTGGTGTCAAGAAAATGCTTGGCCTAGTGTACCGGTGCTGGAATGGCCACATGACAAGTCACATGATAAGGCACCTTAGACATGGACAGATATGAACACTCCCAGACTTTTGGGTATTGTGACGAGAGGACTGACTATGGCCAGTGACCAGAGAAGCTAACAGCCGTGTTAGAAGTTACTAGCCACTTCCATCACCGAACTATACAAGGTACAGTCTGTGTTCTGGTTTATTTGTTTTTATTCGTATTTTGAAAGTTGAGCTCCACGGTCAGGGTTTCTCTGGCTCACCCACACCGGATACGTCAGTCCTAAATGGGAGTGAATGAATGAAGCAGAAGCTCCCTTCCCCACTTAGCCAGTTCCCTGTAGGCCAGTGCTCAGCTCCAAGGACCGAGCGTCGGGTCATGAGGAAGCACCGAGGTGCACTTTTCTTTATTCCTTTGTGACACCGGAGGCTCTTTTCACAAGGCACATTTACCACCATCTAATTAACACATTTCAAAAACAACCTTATGGGGAAAAAGTAACTATATTTTTGGAATATCATAAAACCAACAGCAGCAATAATAAATTTAAAATATGGGTCCTAGCCAGAGGGTCTTGTATTTGACATTTATTTCTTATCATGAATTGTAGCAGCACGGGGAGCTGAAGGTTCGAATCTATTTCTTGAGGAAGTTTTTCATTTTTTTGAGCATGTCTTTCCCCGTCCACATTTGTACTTACATAAAATAAGAAGAATTAAATAATCACATGCTATCTGAACACTGCCTCCTATATTTTAGAGTTAATAAACAATTACAAATGTTTACTGATAATTAATGAAAGCACCTATGAATGCAATCTTGCTTAATCTTTCTAATAATCTTCAGAGATTTATCATGTTAATATCCCCATCTTGTAACTGAGAAAAATGAGCAATAACTACATTAAGTAACTTTCCCAAGTCCAAACCTATCAGTAGTCAAAAGAGAGTCTACCCATGGGTTTTGGTCATGAGGGACACACAGAACAATGAGCTTGCCCTGGTCCGGGTCCGTCTCTCTGCAAACGCTCCCTGAGGCCTCCTCGGGAGTCAAGCCCTGGTGGGAGATGGCCACATGAGGGCTGTGGCCTGGCTATTACAGGACCTGTGAAGTTGAGCGCCTCACTTTGGAACTCGACGCATGACCAGGTAGGAAGCAGTGACTTCTTTTCCCATGACTGAACTCCAGCCCTCCAGCGACCCCATGGTGTGTTCCTCATCTCCTTGCAACAGCGAGTGTGTGCGCCGACTTCTAGTGAGAGGTCACTGTGGATGATGACACAGAGCAGTGGTTCTCACATGGTGGACCTCAGGCAGCACCATCTGCATCACCGTGTAGAACGTTCACGGTGAAAAGTAAACCCAGAGATTCCAACTCATTTCTCACTGCTCCCTGCTCTTTCTGTCCCACCTCCGTTCAGAACAGCCCTGAGGGGGAGCCGGTCTGGAACTTGAGAGGTGCTAAATTCCCAGCCGTGCTATGGCCACATAGAGTACCTAGGTGACTGGCAAAGGTTCAGCCCAAGTACCAAGCTAAAAAAAATTATAAATGATCAAAATGCATCAATAAAATCTATACTGACTAATTTCATACTGAAAGTGAAACATTAAATATAAAAGCAATAAAGCTCATGTAAAAACTGGATTATAGGTATTTATCCGTGTTTCCCCAAATGGTCAATACCTACCTGGAGGGGTTCTGGACTAATCTAGGCGGGCTGCACAAGCAGATACCTATACTTTATCCTGGATTATGGATGCTAGTACAGTGCAAATGTTTAATGGCCAGAAGGTCAACAAGTAGTTTTTTTTGGTGCTAGGTCAAGTAAGTCTGGGAACCCATGGTAGTATATAGGCACGCACACATATAAAATAATACAATATTCAAGGTTGTAGGTTTAATGATTTGCTCATTTCTTTTTCAAAACATTTATAAATATATCTGTGAATTATAAATGACTATCTGATGTGACCTTCTTTTACACTCTTATTACTCAAATAGATTCGAACATTTGTATCAGAACAAGAATCAGAGAGGGTTCCGGCTCAAGTAAAATCCACAGAAAGGACGTCAATCCCGGTTTTCCCTTTACTTGTTCACAGGAAGGGCTGGGGACGAGTTTCTGGCCTCTGTTCACCATCATACAAAGGAGAGAGGGTGCCAGGTAAGCAAGACAGGTCTGATGTCAATTTCACAGTCTACAATTCCTGTCTGCTGTTAAAGTTGATTTTTTAATTAGATGAACTAAGCTGATGGCGTTTATTGCATGTGCTATAGAGAAAGGTACTGCAAAAAAAGCAATAATTTGTCAGTGGTAAATGCAAAATTCTGTAGTATATGGCTGTGGAAATGAATCCAAGTTTCACAACCAAATTGTCAGTCTGTCTGTCTCTCTCTCTCAGGATTGAATCCTTCTTCATACACTCACCAAGAGAACTGTTTACTAGAATTTTTATGAAAGGTACTGCTTTATGTATTCATCAGTCATATTTTAATTATGGGCCTCAAAGATAATGTGTCAAAGCAAAATTAAAAAAACAAACCACCTTAAGCTAACATCATTTCTCAGTTCTGAAGACAAACTACGTGCATGTAGACTCGGATAAAAAGAGAACAGTCATGGATTATTATGAGCATGCTACATTTCCAGAGGGGGTGGCAATTTTTTTTCCTTCAAATTAATAACAAGGCCTTTATGTCATGCCATTATCATTCCTTCTAGGAACCCTGGTTGCATAGTGGTTGTGCACTGGGTTGCTGTCTGGAAGGTCAGCTGTTCGAAACCACCAGCCATTCCACAGGAGGAAGACCCGCCTTTCTACTCCCACAGAAGAGTCACCATCTATGAGCCCCACAGGAGCAGCTCTGCCCTGGAACAGGGCTTTGGTCAGAATTGACTCAACGGCGATGGTCTTTGGTTTCTTACAATTCCTTCCATTGAAAACTGGAGGAAAAACAGAACTTCCAGGGAGAAAAACAACTTCATGATCAGCTACATTACTATGAAATTTAGATTATAGGTTATTACTAGGTGACAACGTATTATTATATTGTATTTTCCTGCCTTCTTCATCTTAGCCAGGCATATTTACATTCTATTTTGAAGTATCTCCATCATTCGGAGTCACCCAAATAATAATGACTTAGAAGACTTCTAAGAAAAGAAGAGCCCAAGGTACTTCCACAGTCAAACACCCAGCTTTAGGTTTCTCTCAATTGATTATATAATTAATGATTTATGATACATGATTGAATGATTCTACTCTAAAGTGAACAATCAGGTATTCCATACTTTGCAATGTCATGGTATGCAATCTCGCCATCCAAATAAGTTGCAGTATGAATTCGTGAAAGAAGATGCATATGTACTTCTTTAAACCCAGAACTTATCCTAGTGATTTACTTGTAACAATAAATGATCACTCCTTTCTCTGAGGCATGTATGCATCTAAGTTTCACCAGCAAATGGGCTCACCATAAATTGTACTTCTCATCGAACCACTAGGAAGTAAGCATTACTTTTCAAATTTAGATATTTGAAGTCTGGCATTAATTGCCTCGAGGATAAAACAATTAATGAAATCGTCTGTGAAGTGACACTGGGATCTGTGCTCCATAAAATAAAGTCAAACAAACTCGTTACCATCAAGTCTCCTCTAACCCACGGTGGGGCAGAAGCGAACTAGAGTTTCCGCAGCAGGAAACGTTTACGGGCACAGAAAGTCTCGTCTTTCCTGCAGCGGCCTGGTGGGTCTGTACCACCAAACTTGTGGTTAGCATCACCGTCCAGGACCCTTTCCTACGGGGCTAGTGCCTACTTCTCTGTGCTCTGCTCACTGGGGGCCCACTGGTGCCTCTCCGTTATTCTGACACAGGGCTTTTAGGATGCAGGATCTGTGGATGTGGTAGGTGCCTTCTACTGTAAAAATAAGTGCTTACTTACTACTTCCAGTGCTGATAGAAATCAAAGCTTCACTTGTGTCTCTTACCTTTTCCATGGCTTCTCCCATCCTCCAAAAGTGGCACTACAATAGTGTTGTTCACATTTCCAGGTGACCGTACAGCTGTGTAGACCACAGGCACCGACTGGACCACCACTGGGATGCGGTGAACGTGACTCAGTTTGTTAGACTGTAAGTTCATGGGGCTTGAAGGTGGTACAGGATGGATAATGTGCAAAAACTGCTGGCCTCCCACACCAGATGCAGAGGCCACAAGGGGTCCTGGCGTTAATACTGTTGACGAGGATGATGCTGAAGATACTGATGTTATAACAGTTGGGGATGAGGCTGGACGACTAGAAGATGATGAAGAGGTTGAAGTTGAAGAAGGTGAGGAGGCAGACGCTGTCATGGAAACTGGGGAGGATGAGACTGCTGTAGGGGATGTTCTGGCTTTGTTTATTGACAAGTCCACTGGCTCAGTTTGTGTTTGGAAGTGATCTACAGATAACGAGTCCTCTGGGGGCTCCCCTTTCACATTATTTAGCAACAGGGGAACGGCTTCCATATCGGGATAGTTGTGGACGTTTGGAGACTGTGTGGAGAAAAATAAAACACATATTGATCTTTATTAATCACCCATTTAAACAGAAGCTGGTTTATTAAGTTGAAACTTTTACAAATGCTTCTCTGACTACTGCGCAACCTGTCCAGCAAATATTGCAGGGATGGCTTTCTGGTGGTGCCCATGGTTACAATGACAACAACGCAAAGCACAGTAACAGAAGACCTCGGGTGTAAAGACATTTTTATTCTATCGGGAGAGAGTGACACAAGCGTGCGACCCCATGAAACCGCTGCTCTGTGGAGGGAGGAGGGGGCTGCGGAAAGGAACACACTACAGCAATCTGGCAGACGGCTGCCTAAAAGACAAGTTCAAAAAGCAGAGTAGAACGTGCCTCACACTGAAAATACTACGAAGTGATTGAGAAAGATTCATTTTAAACCAGCACTGAGCCTAGGAGCCACAGTTGCCTCTTTTATAAACTAATGTGATTAGGTTTTCATTACGTAGCTTTTTACTTCCCTTCCTACTCCCAACGCCTATGATTTCATGGTTCTAACCACGTTCAAGGTGATTGTCATTTAGAGATAAATATCACCTGGAAACAATACTGGCAAAACTCATGAAGGCTTTCCCACTTTCACATTCACTATGAAGATGACTGTACTGCATTTATGATGACCATTAAAAACAGGCATTTGCGTCTCCATTTCTAATCACTAAATTCTTAGATACAAGTCATTTATTAATAATTAGATTGTAATTTGCTTGATAATATGACAAGTGTTTCCCAAAATAAAACTCAAAATAATGCATAGTGCTACAAAAACAACTCAGATTTCAGGAAATAATTAGACATTTTCAGAAAAAAGAATAGGTTGGAAATTTTAAACTGACTACATTTAATTAAAAATGATAACAATGCTAGTACTAATTTGATCAAACTTTATATACATTTTTTACTTTACCAAGCAAAATGTAATGAGAGTAATAAAGACTTCACCGCATAGCATGCTCTGTGTACCACTTCACATGAACAGACCTTTGTTTATACACTTATTGGCCCATAAACCAAAAATTATTTGAACATCTCTTTCTGAGGTTCAAATGGTTCAAGGATTCATTAGTTAATGTATGCCAGCAAAATCTTAATAGAGAAAATTAAGACTGTAACCAACTATTTTGGTTACATCAAATTTGACTAGACTAACAGACATTTTTGCTTTATCATGTAAAAGGAAAAAAAAAAAGGTTATTTTGGCTTTATTTGGTCTCAAAACAATACCTAAAATTATACTAAATTGGCTCATTTCATTCCCTGCTTAATAAAAGACTTGAGCACACACTTAAAGTAAGAAAATAGGTTTCTTAAGGCTTTTCTTTAATATAATTATAGCGCTATTTAGAATATACAATAAGCAGTAGTGCAAGGGCACTTTCAGCAACAATGAGAAAAGGAAGAAAATGATATGTCAACAATGGTGCGAAATCAACTAAAAATGGAAGCAAGTTGATGTTTTATTGTTTTGTTTCATCCCTTCTAAACCAACAATGATACTTCCCTGAAGCACCTCTGAATTTGAAAAATAAAGACAAAAGAGAATTCAAAGTATGTAGGACATAGGATTCACAATGAAAGATTTCTTTTTGGTGTGCTGAAATTGGGGGGGGGGTTTAATATTCTCACAAAGACTTAAAACATATAGAAAATGGCACTATAAATTGTTATGATTTATAAAACATGATTAACATTAGCTATTCTTCTAACTGAAGGAACATATCTATTGGTTCTCAGCATTATAGCTTAATTGCCTTATGGAATATCAATGATTTCTTATTAATGTTATATCCATAGAGAAAGTCTTTCTTAAGCTACTTTTATAAATGATAACAATTAGTCTTTAAAAACACAAAGTGCATAAAGTACAAGTAATTAAGTATGAGTATCATTGTTTTCTTTGACTTTAAACATTGTCTCAAATAGTTTCTTCCCTTTTTACTGTTATTAGATCAATCCAAAATTCTTAACTTGGATATGGATATTCGATCATGAATTTTTCTCCTCTCTTTATTATTTACAAAACGACTGGTGGCATTGTGGGGCAGATCTCTGGCTGACAACCTCAAGGTCAATAGCTCCTACTTGGGACAAAGATGAGGTTGTCTACTTCCACGAAGACGCACATTCTCGGAAAGCATCTATGGGCTCCTGATAAGTCAGAAATCAACTTGATGGATTTGGGTTTGGCTTTTAACCATTTGTTTAGACAAAGGCTTGTTTACATATCTGTACATACCGATCATGGTAGACACAGTCTATAAAGTGGGAGAATGCCAACTTTATCAGGTAAGTACACAGTCATTAATAAATGGAGTTGATTTATAAGGAGGTTACATCTGAGGTATCAAGTTTCACCAAGCTTTGCAAACTACTGAAGACGTTTGCACATTATGAGTAACAGCCCCCCTTTGATAGGTATCAGCTTAATCCATCACTGAAGAAAATAATTACTTTGTACACTTTTATGAAAATAGAAGATAAGGAATATTCCTAGAAATCAATGAATACTATTAAGAACACAGAGGTACTCTGAAATACTTGAGACCCACATAGCCTTTACAAGAGGCTCAACCCCCCAAATATAGGAAATGCTCATACAAATAAGGAAAGATAATCCAAACCTTTGGATCACAGACATATTTTCCTTGGAACCATGGACAGACTATGCATAAATTTATAAACACAAATATCACAGCGACACATGCTGGCTCCTTTTTCACACATAGCAATTGAAATGCAGCCAGCACATTCCAAAATAATGCTCCCTCAGGATAAAAGGGACCAAATCCTTCTTGTACCATTCATCTGTTTACAGTGTTGACATACTATCATATTCTGACAGCCCAGACTAATCTCTTCTACTGTGATAACGTTGCAGGTAAAGCTGTGTGCAACTCTAGCTTCAAGCTGCACACACATATCTGTAAAACCAGCAAGACTACAGAAACGTGCTTTCAAGCGGCTACTGTGCAACATTCATGCTCTTTTAAAAAAATATTTTTCCAAAAGAGAAATTAGGTGAATGACTAGATGCTGAAATTTTCATTAGAAATAATTTCTTTACTTTTAAAGAGTGGACAGTTTAACTAGATCTGGTCTGAGACTTGGATTCATCAAGGGCCAGCTGTACTGAGGGGCAAAGGAAGAAACCGTCAGGAGAAAGAATGAAAGCCGAGGAGCAAACCAGCCGTAAGAAAACCCAAAGGGGGATTACTTAGAATGAGGAACTTGGCATGAAATGAAAGGGTCACACGCTTCACAGAAAATGATACAAGATACGCAGGTGACACCCAAGGAACATGAGTGGCTCAGAGACAAATACTGAGACACAAGAAAAAACACATGGGCTTTATAAGTTTAAGTGCCCTGAGAAAGCGTAGCCCCTGAAAAACACTGGATGGTCCAACTAGCCATTCATCTATCTGTCCGTCCAACCAACCATCCATCCACCCATCCATCCATCCATCCATCCATCCATCCATCCATCCATCCATCCATCCAATTATCTAGTCTCCATCCATCCATCCATCCAATCATCTAGTCTCCATCCATCCATCCATCCATCCATCCATCTAGTCTCCATCCATCCATCTATCCATCATTTAAACAAATTACACTTAAAATACAACATTAAAACTTTTGGGGAGAAATAATCTTTTGGAAGTTTTTAAAACAGTTATCATTTCCCTAAAACTATACACAGCTCATGCATTATCGATTACAAAAATCTTTGCTGTATACTCTGTTGTGTGCTACTACAGAAAGAAAATTGGATTTGGATACAAAAGACTTCAATACATGACCTATCCTGGCAGCTGACCAATCTTGGTATAAACCTACTGCCATCAAGTCAATTCCAACTAATAGCAATGCTATTATACCATCTCCCAGGCAGTCCACCTTGTGGGGGCAGTCAACCTCACCTTTATCCCTAGAGGGAGCTGATGAGTTTGAACTAATGTCTAACCAACATATCCACCAGGGCTCTTTAATCTTGGTATAGAAATTAAAATTTTGCCAGACTTAGTTTGTCCACTTATAAAAGAGTGATATTGACCCACAACTCATACAAGTGCTATGATGACTGAACTTAGAGGAACAAGGACGTTAACATTCAGAAAGAGCAATGTGGAGGAGAGAAGCCAAGAAAGCAGAACTCTCCCTTCCTTCAAACTGAAGAGCCCAAACTAAAGCTGCTCTATGACAATGCCTCAGAGGGGCTTTACTTAGGAAGACCGTCTGATACTGTTAACATTGGAGGGGTACAGTGTTAGCTACACAAGCAAACACATATGTGACAGATGCAGGTGAAACAGCCTGAATATTGTGTTTTTAAGATCTATTTGTATTAAACACATTTTCCCTTAAAACATACAAGCATGCTATTTAATATTTTTCTGCATGTGGATCTCAATTAGATTGACCCAGAGGATGATTCAGTAATTGATGGAATACATTTTTAAACTGTAGGTAGTGCTAGATTTAATACTAACAATATAATAATTGTTATAATTATTAATACTAGCAAGATAAATTGGAAGAGTGACCACACGACGGGCTTAAAGCTAACCACTGAGCGGACGAAGCAAGAGTGTTGTTCTATTCCTCATGGGGACAGTATGAGTTGCAGCCAAATCAATGGCACTTAATAAGAACACATCAATAAATACTTTAACTTATATCAATTACCATAATGATGCACATATTATTTTGAGATGTTGCTCAGTCTTCAGCATTGTTATTACGGGAGAACAGATTTGTTTCTGTGTCTCAGTCGAAAGTTGTTTCATATCATTTTCAAGGTCTCACTTAGTGATGATTTGAACATGTATCATTTGGGTGGGTGGGGGACTTAACAAAATTTACTGTGTCACACACGCCAAAAAAAAAGGATGAGCCTAAATCGAAGACTTCATCCTGTGATCAATTCTGTGATTATTTACACTTTAAAGTTTTCTTATATGATTTT